CCTCCAGCAGAGGGCACCAAACCACAGCCTTTCTTGAACCGCTGTCTTTTTTTCCACTCATTAACAATTTACACCATGTTTTTTTTGTTGGGTGAAAAGTTCATCTATGGAAGAGGATGAAGGCCAAGTGTGGAAAAAGCTTTTGAGATCTGCCCAAAAGGGAATTTTTGTTTAGGAGTTCTGGGGGAAAAGTCTCAATGTCTAAATATCTGAATTGTGACTTTAATAACAGAACGTCAAAAGATGATCAGAAAGGTAAAATAATAAATACACATCATAACAAAAATGTAATAGGCAGGCAAGATTTATTTCACAAATATAGCAACAATGTTAGTTTAAAAAAGTTTTTGTTTTTCAGTTAGGAAAACAAAAACATTCCTTTCAATCATTTCAGAAAATATTAATAAAAACATGGAGTTTAACCATTTAAGAATGCTTTAAACATTTGATTTGCTACAACTTTAAATATCATCTTTGCTGTAATTTGGATTTCTAACTTTAATGGGATCCCTCCCGATTCATTTAGCTAAAGCAGAACCACCGGGTTAGTTTAATTGCATGAGTACAATTGGACAAATCCTACATTCTTAATCACTGATATTAATTCATCAATAATATCTCTGTTGACCTTTGCTTTCAGGGATCTGACAGTAAAGCACCACAGCCCACCAGGCCCTCTGTCCTGATCCCACCAAGCGCCAGCCATCGCCCAACATCCCCGTCTTCCTCCTTGGGTCTCAGCCCCTCCCCCGAGCTTCGGCATTCACCTCTGACCCCCCCGACACTGGAGGAACTCAGGAACCAGCTGAGAGACCTGAGGGCCTCCGTAGAACTGCTTAAGAGCCAGCATAGGTACACCATATGTACAGCATATACTGTACCTATCTCTGTGTCTTTCTGAGGATACATGAGTATTTCAGACTCATCCTGCTGATGTTTGTTTGTATTTCAGGCAGGAAATGAAGCAATTGACCAATGCGCTAGATGAAGAGAAGAAAATTCGTGTTAGTTTACAGGTGAGATTCATGAAAACGTGTTGATAGAACACACACCTGAAACAGATGTATGTGTTCTCTCTTAAGTTTTGTATGACTGTATGACTCTTTTTCAGGAAATGTATTATTGTATTGTAATGTATTATTATTGAATAATCATGGGCTGTTTGGTGTTGAAAAAAGAAGTAATAATATTAGTAATTTAAAGTAATACTAATGTTACTTTGGGGACTGCATGGAAAATTGTGAGATTTTTAAGAGAAATTGCTTGTTAATGAATTAAAGTTGATTAACAGATGAATTGAACATGAAAATAATGAATTCTCTGGTAAGTCTGCTGTATTCTCATTCAGAAAGGATTTTAAGAGCAGTGGCTCAATGTCTTTGATTGTAACATCTATGAATTCACGATACTTGTGTCTTTGTTTGACAGATGGAAGTAGATCACATAAAGAAGAGCCTGTCAAAATGAAGATTAAAGCATCACCTCATCACCACATTGGAGGCCAACATTTTTTAAACATTCTCACTGTTGGCCGGGACACTTCAGGCAAAACAAAGTTTGTGCCAAATGGTCATCACGATCAACATCAGCAACTATACAAACCATGGAATCAGCCACCTAGCCCCTACACCGCCTTATCCTGTGTTTACTTCTTAATTCTTCTTTTAAAGAGGCTTCTCTTGTTAAGTTTACTGCTATCATGTCAAAGCTTGCTGTGCCACAGGTACTGAATGACTGTATGTTGTAACGGTTACGGAATGATGACAAAGGGGCCCTGTCAGCCTCGCTGATGCTTTTTGTTTCTTATTGTGAAGGAAATTTGGAACTTGACCTTTGTAGCCAGGTTGGTTCATACAACCTCTGTGCTCTGTGTCTACTCTGCGGCCTTCACTCCTATAAATGTGTGTGTGTGTGTGTGCGTGCATGTGTGTGTGTTTGTTTACCATCCATGTAAGGACTGCAGTTTTAGACCTTAAGATTATAGACTTTTTTTTGTAATGTGAGGTTGTTTTGGCCGGATCAAGATTTCTTTAATGGCAAGATTATCGTTAAGATTTGTGTTGATCACATTCAATTCTCGTCATCATTAGAGTTACATTGTTTGACACTGAGCTCGATGTTTCTATGGTACACTGCAGGCGGGGGATTTTTGAAACATCAGCCATAAACAGCACTGGCATTTGGATACATTTCCCCGACCGTTCTCTTAGTATGATTATCGTAAAAATTCTGCTGGAAAGATACAATTATAAGGACATCCTGATTCCTACCCACAATCAATCTAATTAAGTATAATCAACAAGTACTGATACTATAGGTGCTTTATAAAGGAATAATTTCACACTATTGCTGGGAGAAGAAAAGCACATCTCACTGCATGAACACACATGTGATATCAGAATTATCATGTCAAGATTGCCTTCTGGACCAACACATATTATTACCTTATTTTGCTTTTGCACTTTTGCACCACAACTCCAGAAACCTCAAACCCCACACCCTCCGCAGAAGAAAAAAAAAATCTAAAATTAGATCAATGTGTATCTGATGTTTCTGGTGCTCTTTTGTCAAATGAATGGTAAAACACAGGGTTTGAGGAATGTAGTAAGTGAAAGGACTTCACAGGTTAGAGATGAACATGTGAGTGTGCATGTACAGTATGTGTGATAGCATGTACGGCTGTTTGCCTCCCTTCCTTATGCGTGCACAGAATCTATGGCAACCCGTCACTGTGGCCTTCCTGTTTTTGACTCCAAATCTTTCTTTTTCTCTTTCTGTCTTTCTTTCTATTCTTTTCTCCCTGTCTTTCTTTCTTTATTTCTTATGACAATGAGAAAAACTGCTACAACTGAGTCTTCTAATTGTTTTCTTGACTTGGTCCTTTCTCTCCAGGATAGTGATAAATATATATACTTTTATATTTCAGTGGAATAAAGATGCTATTATGTACTGTCTGTGAGCATATGTCATTTTTAAACACTATGTTGGATTTGTCTGCTGGTAAAATGTGTTATACAGTTATATATGAAGGAGCTTTGTGTTCGATTCTGTCTCTCTTCACTGTTTGAGAAACTAGTTCTCCCTATATATAAATATACAAATAACTGTTAGATCAGCATACAGTATGTGTGTTTGCTTTAACAAGCACTGAAACCACGACATCATTTCTTATGAGGTTGTAAACAGTTAAAATCCCTGAAAATATGTTAAAAAAAATGCCATATCAATCAATTTCACTATTTGTAATTGAATTTTCTTTTTGTGTTGTCATGTTGTAGTAAAAAAAGCAAACAATTTCTATATTGGCAAGGAATAAACAAAAGAAAAAGGACTGAAAAAGAGGCAGTAAGACATTCAAAACTGGTAAAGTTAATCAGAAACACAAAACAATTGCTAAAAAACATATTAAAAGACTTTAAACTATAACTTCATTGAGGAGTTTGGCTATTAGACTGTTCCAGATGTGTAAACCCTACACGGCCAGACCCATTTCCATCATGTAAGGTTATTAGTATACATTGCTCCCTCCCAGGTTGTGACCCAAGTAGTTTTTAAAATATCATGAACAGGATACAACCATCAGCGATGAATTGGTTATATTAACAAAAGAAGGATCTAAAACGGATTGGATAACCCCAGTAAAACCCTGGTCATTCGTGTGAACGAGATGTTAAGGACCATAGCCAGGGGGCTACTGAATCATTTGGCATACCGGGACAAATTTGAATTGGGGCGCTTTTATCGGTGGGACAGTGGATGGTTAAAAAAAACATGTTTTTGTTCTGCCAATCCAGCCCTGTCCTTCTCTTTGCTGGCCTTTAAAGTGTCCCTGTCATAAAATCTTTTGCATGCACACTCTCTACGCTAAAGTGGTGTGCATGCACCACTCTCTAAGCATCTATAAGGCAGATGTTTTCAGTCATCAAACCCACTCTACACTACTTGCTCAGCACACAATAGGATACAGACACAGTTAACATAGGTAAACATACTGGAGCGTGTATCAGATGAAGTACCTTATATTTTAAAACAGAGCTAAAAGGAGAGTGAATATGGATCTAACTTTTTCAACAAATACAACTCCAAATATTTGTTTAGTCCACTGGATGTGTAAACCATTTTTTGTCCACTGGATGTGTTAACAATCTTTTTAGTTGTTGTTGACAATTCCCGACATCAACTTAAAAGCTGATAGTATGTGTTCACAACCTGATTATGTTGCCAATTTAAAGAGATGTAAGAAACGTGGGCATATCAAATAAAAAGAACAGTAGCTTGTTTGATTGTCATCATGATACATACGAATAAGGTCGGCAGCTAGTCTTCCTTTGCTTAATCTAATCTAATAAATAGATTTAGTGCATTTCCACTATTGAAGCTGCTGTTTGTGTCCAGTCCATTTTCTAACAAAATACCAGGAACAGCATTTTGATGTCATGCAGTTGTAATAACTTGAGAAATATTCGAGTGGTTAACATTAAAGTAACATATAATTACTGACTGTACACCTTCTGTACACCAACATAGATAATAATAGCAATATGGTTCTTCTAGGAAGCCGTTAAACCACTCCAGAAGTTACCAAGGAAGGACCAATGGCACTCAGCCCAGTTCAGTAACTCGTGGACCTTGTGTCCCATCTGCCAGAGTGTAATATATTGGATTCTGGCCGTCAGTACTGTCCGGTATTCACGTTCCACCGGTGCGTAAACGATCCTGACCCAAAAATGGATTGGGTTTCCAAAAATACTTCATCAACAACGATAAATACCTGATGAGAAAAAACTGAAATCACGTAGAAACCATGTGCTGAGTGTTGACAGGAAAATAAATTGGCTGCGAGTAGAGGAGACCAGAAGGACACTTTTATATTTAGACATCCGGCGAGACGCGATAACATTTCACACTGGACATCACGGTTTCGATTGCAGTAAAAACAATCTCAGTCGTCAATACGATCTGCAAAGCCAAGGGAGTATGCTGACTTTTGTATGCATATGTCTCTCCCCGCTTTTCTGCATTTCCTCTCGGATCTAGTCGGATCCAGTCCGGGTGAAGCGGATTTCATGGTGCGAGATAATCGGCACATGATGTGAGTTAATCAGGCGGAGATGTGGGGGGAAAAACTCAGACGCGCTCGACAGGTGAGCAACAAGTGATCAAGAGGGAGGACGACACGGAGGGCACAGACAAAATAAAGGAGGTAGCGGGAGGGACAGTAACCGGAGAAGGAAAGGAGATAAAGCAGCTCCTTGGTTCTCGGTATGGACACGGGGCAGAGCGCACAGGTCACCGACATGGGAGGAGAGCACTCCGCCGGGGTAAGTGCGGTGGAGCGGGAGAGGGGCGATGTGCCCAGCCCCTGTCCACCGGCCAAGCAGCGCTCCTTGCGGGTGGTGTACGTCCTGAATGACGGTCTGAAGTCGGTGATGGCCAGCAGCCCGGAGTCTGGAGCTCTTCAGTGTCTGCAGAGAGCCTGCGACTCGGAGAGCGCGCTGCTCACCACCGTCACCTTCGGCCGGCTGGACTTTGGAGAAACATCCGTGCTCGATAGTTTCTACGATGCAGGTGTGTGGTAAAGAAACATAATGGGTTTGTTTGTTTGCAAGTACATTGATTAAGTTGTCTAAATTACAACTCGGGTAATTTATAATGCAAGAAAATAAAGGTACTTTTGGGTTAGGCCTATCCGTCGCCAGCTTTTTTAGTTTTTTCAGACTCTCTAAATAGGCACTTTTTTTCAGACTTTCTTAATAACCCTAACCCCTAGGATTAATGTTTGTTATTTTTAGAAATTAAAAAGTTAATGTGGAGGAGCCAGCTACCCGCTATTAAAAAGTGGCAACAGATAATCCACAAATACAATTAATCACTTTGTTGAGCACATGCACAAAGAAATGCTGGATTATTTTACCCAACACTGGGTATATTGGGTCATTTTGTTGATTTGAATCCACAGTGCTGGTTAGTTAAGTGCCAGGCTACGTTTCAGAGGGCTGGTAAAATATGTTCTTTGTGAGAGATCTTTTCATACTTATGTCACCAAAAAGAGAAGTTCTCAACATCCAGCACTGTCAATTGAATGTTAAAATAGTCAAGGTTGTTGAATCAGCAGATATTATTATTATTATGTATCTCTTTTGAGCAGAAAATCAGCAAAGTCCTGTTCGAAAATGTTAAGATACAAAATGCAATATGTTGGTTTTGTTATTACTATCATGGACAGAAATGAGTGATAGCCTACTTTAATTTCAACATGTGTCAGATTATTAAACTCACACCATCACCATATCATGATATTTGCTATAAAAAAACAACAACAACAACAACAACTTAAAATCAAAGCTTCTCGTGTCAGGTCATCATTGTAAATAAGAATTTGTTCTTAATTGATTTTCCTGGATAAATAAAGGTTCTTCTACTTAGGACATTACAATATCAATTGAGAGTAAACAAAGAGCAACAACATTTATTTTGTTTCTCTTAAGATATGTTTAAGTTGTTGTTTGCTTTAATATGCCCAGAAAAAAGCATGTGATATGTGTGAGAACAAATAAAAGCCTGGTCAGGGGAATAGTCAAAACATTTGACTAGTCGTGGCAGGTTGAACACAGTTGTAATTAATGCAATAATGACAGTTTAGCAACATTCCAGTCATAAATCACTGAGCACAATGTAGGGCTTGGCAGATAGACAGGAGGTTGATCTGCCGTGACATGTTAGGGAGTCTGAGAGACACCTTTGTAAACACATGATATGAATCTAACATCTGAAAATTAGATTGCCTCATTAAATAAATGTTTATTACCAGGTTCCAATGTATTACCAAATGGCTGCAAAACTAATGACCTGCCCATGAGCCACAGCTAATAAGTACATTTTAGCATGTTTACACGCTAAACTAGTATGGTGAACATTAGCACGTTAGCATAGACTTTGTAAGTATGTCAACATGCAGACTTGACGTTTTGCCCAGAACAACACTTTATAACTTATCATATAAGTCTCAATATGATGTTATCAAAATACATTTGACTAAATTCACAATATTATAATTAATAGTTTCAAGAATTGCTTGAGCCTTTATTTTTTGTTTGAATTGATAAGTGAAATCATATGCAAAAGTTATCAGGTGAAATTTCATTCAGTCCTTTTTAGATTAGGTATTGCCTCCAGATGAAAGCTTTTTCTTCATGTCTGCACACTAATCCATTCTTGTTTAATATTTATTTTAATGCAATCTCAGGAATTGTGAATGCTTGAGGCATTACTCCAGCACAGGAAGGAAACAACAAAGACTCCCTGCTCATCTTCACATGTTGTACTTTTCTTTGCATGTTCATGTAAGATCAGAAAGCTTTAACAACATTTTGCAAGCTTTCTGTGTTTTTGTGGTTTTAACCTTTAACCTCCAATAGGGTCATGAGTCAGACACTCCTAAAGCTTGTGGTGGCTTAGTCTTAAGATCTGATGGATTTTAGAATGGGAATTGAATCCAAGTGCATGTGGTTGAAGGGAAAGGGATTGTTCTGTATTCTCATTAAATTATGTGAGAGATTTGAGTCATGTTTTCATTGTTTTCTTACTACTTTCACATCTCTTCACTTCTCCCAGACATCGCCGTGGTGGATATGAGTGATGTGTTTCGGCAGCCATCCTTGTTTTATCATCTGGGTGTGAGGGAGAGCTTCGATATGGCCAACAACGTCATCCTGTACAACGACACTGACCCGGACACTGCCCAATCACTGAAGGTACTCACATACATTCAATTCTTGTCATCTCCTGACGGTGTATTTAGAGTTCAATTCTTGTCATCTCCTTAAAATGATGTCATCCACTTTGTTATTTACAGCCTATTGTGCAGGTGTATGTGTTTGTGTGTGCATTTATATTGGTCAATGTATGTGTGTGTGTAGCAGACTATAAGCAATGCTGCAAGTGGCAACCAGCTTATTAAAGTAATTATGCAGTGTTAACAAAAACACACAACATGCTCTATGTTTTATCTCCTTACAGGACATGGTCGCACAAAAAAACACAGTAAGTTTCTTGGTGTGTGTGTGTGTGTGTGTGTGTGTGTGTGTGTGTGTGTGTGTGTGTGTGTGTGTGTGTGTCGTGCGTGTGTCTGCGTGTGTGTGTGTGTGTGTGTGTGTGTGTGTGTGTGTGCGTGTGTGTGTGTGTGTGTGTGTGTTTAGAGTGATTTATGTACACACACTGTCTCGTGCTATTTGTGGAATAATATTTGTGCCGTTCGACCCTCACGCACAACAGCATGCAGGAATGCTTATCTACATGCTTTCATTTTCCACCCTCCTATCTCTCTCTCTGTCTCTCTTTCTCTCTGTATTCCTCACACAGAGACATACAGTACACGCAAAACCCACAATTATCCTGATAATTGATTGTAACATGTGTATTGTGTCTATCTATGAATGAAGAAGGCCAACCGTTCTCCAGCATTAGGCTTTCCCTGGGTTCAGTTGCCACCAGAATACAGAGGCTCTGGACTGTGCAATAAAGTATGTACTATGCTACACCAAGGCATGCTGGAAGATTTCCTCACAGGCTAATAATAATAACAAACATGGACGAGGGGCTTTAAAAAACTGACCTCCCCATGGACTGTTGGGTGAATAACAAGTTGAATGCCTTAACAGTAGTGTGTACAAAACCAAAGAAAGATAAAATGAGTTTCTAGCTCGATGGGTACTAACTATCTCTTCTTAGATGAGATTCTTTCTGGTGCTTTGTTCTGCAGAGGACTATGTTAAATTCACAAATCTTGAATTCAGAATGGGCTGTGCATCCTTAACTTCCAAGTTATGCAAAATGTTTTTTTTGGGCGCAGAAGGCAGCTGCTTTCATCAGAAAAGCTGTAAGACCCTTTAAAAACCACTAACCATTAACCACTAACCATTAACCACTAACCATTAACTGAGATCCAGCTGCTATTTTCGAAATAAGAAAATAGTTCATGGTGTTTTGTTGGTGTTTTATTTGCCAATACTTTTAACATTATTTAAATGTCAGAAAATTATCAAATAACACAACAACAATACTATCAAACAGTTTGACTCTCCCCTTTGTTCATCGGTTCAGGGGGAAGGAAGTAGTTGATATTCATAAAAATAAACCATTTAAGGGATTATAGGCATAGTTGCTCAAACCCTTGGATTAAGAATTACAGGTAGTTTGAAAAGAATGCTGCATGAGTGGTTGAAAATAAATATGTACAAACTGTGCCCAATTGGAATTTTACAATGATCTTAAATTATTGCGACCACTGAAGTGGGCTCAGCCAGTCCAAAAAGATTGAACCATAAAAAGAAAGACATTGTTCTGCACAAAAGAAAAATTAGGAGTAAAAACCAAGGGGCCATAAAGAGAGATATGGTGTTGCAGTGTGTATTCATTGCATTGGTTCTTGCTGTGTTGGATAATTAACAGCCTTTTGAGCCTAATTACTTGACCAAACCTATGCTGATGTTGTTATGATATTAACAAAACAAATCCCACGAGTACACTGATCCTCTACCCCTACTGATCCTTCTAATTAATCGCTCTTTAATCCCCAATCCCTAAAACTCTTCCCCTTGAGGACTCCATTCACACCTGGCATTAGCATCTGGCATGATTATTATCCGATAATTATCTCTGTTACATTTAAAGCTACTTTTTTAGGCCTAGTGATACTCAAATCTGAATCCTCTTCTCTTTGACAAAAATGTTTCCCTTTTCTCCTTCCAGGCATCCAGTGGTAACTACTACTTCATCCCCTACATAGTGACTCCTAACCATGAATACATGTGCTGTGAGAGTGACGCCCAGCGCAGGGCCAGTGAGTACATGCAGCCCAGCTGGGACAACCTGCTGAGCCCCCTTTGCGTCCCCCTGACAGACCGCTTCACCAGCCTGCTGAAGGACATCCACGTCACATCCTGGTGAGACACATTTAAAGGTCTCCTATTATAACATATTTAGGCATATATTATAGGTCTCAGATATATACAAATATATTAAAAACATGTCTATGAAGTGTTTTGCTCAAAATACCTAACAGATCACCCATTCTAGCCATGCCTCATACCCCTCTTTATCAGCCCTGTTAGAGAAGTGCTGATTCTGGGTTCGTAGCTTTAAAAAAAGAAATTGAAATAAGGGGATTATTTCTGAAACAGTATGGAGCTCAAATGCTTTTTCTCATGCGGGTTTACCTCAAGGTGAGTTCCTTTTTATATCCAGCTTTTTTACACATACTCTCTCCAGTACAGCGTTAGCTCTGACTGTTAGCGATGCTTGCTAATGTAAACAAAGACCATATTACTTCCAAAACATGTCGCGCATTCTTTCTGATAGCAACGTTTCTGATAGGGTTGTAGGTTTGAAGCAAGCCCACATTTCCGATATATCCGTTGTACCCCCGTTTTTAGAGATGTGGGTACGGAGGAAAAGAAAGAGGGTTTTGTTTTCTGACACTCTGTGAGTTCCCTTACAGACCGGGGACACATATTTATGTATTATATACATCAAAAAGTGCATTTTGCATGATAGGAGACCTTTAAAACCTAAAAGCAATCATACAAAATAATACGTTTTGTTATTTGATCAAGTTGCTTCAATGGCCCTAACATGCAGACTCATGACTCTCTCTTGTATCATCCAAAGAGCACAGGATGTTTGATGAGTGAAAATCAGATCAAACATGAATAAGACAACATTATACAGAAACAATGGATTTGGAACAGATCTGCAGGGGACATTGAGTGCAATTTAAGACTTTCGAATACCTAATTAATAATTATTGCAATGGGAAACCAGTAGTAACAACATGCTGTGCAATTATTTATTTGTATGTGAATTGTATTTGTAGTTATGCAGAGGTGGGAGAAGTACCCAGATCTTGTACTTTGGTTAAAGTAGAAGTACCAGAGTGTGGGAATCATCTGTTAAAAAGTAAAAGTTCTGCATTCAAAATGTTACACAAGTAAAAGTCAAAAGTATTAGCATCCAAATATACTTCAAGTATCAAAAGTAAAATTACTCATTCTGTAGATTGGCCCATTTCAGAATAATATATATTATATGTTTTTATTATAATTATTGAATTAAATTGTTTATAAAAGTTGGTAAAGGTGATACTAGTTTACTTACTAATTACTAATTAATTTGTATACTTCAGGGTAGCTTGTGAATTTACTCCAGGTGTAACTAAAGTCTGATTTAAGTGTTGATTATATTTCACCTCATTAATCCAAATCTTTCCAAAAGTAACTAAAGGTTTACATTAAATGTAGTGGAGTAAAAGTACCATATATACCTCTGAATGAATCTGAGTAGAAGTACAAAATAGCACAACATTTAAATAATCAAGTAAAGTCCAAGTATCTCAAAACTTTACTTAAGAACTCTACTTGAGTAAATGTACTTCCCACATCTGCAGATGCAGGAGCTTCCTCTATATTCTCGTAATCTTTTTTGTTTGTGTTGCATATCTCTCCTCCTCACCCCTATTTATTACCCAATTTACTTTCATCTCATTATTGTTTATTCTTTTCTGTGCAGCGCTTCATTTAAGGACACCCTGCTAAATGACATCAGGAAGGCCAGAGAGAAATACCAGGGAGAGGAGCTGGCCAAGGAGCTTTCTCGCATTAAACTCCGAATCGACAACACTGAAGTCCTCACCCAGGACATCGTGATGAACTTGCTCTTTTCGTACAGAGACATACAGGTACAATACACACAAGTTAGAGGAACAACACATACCTGAATCATATTCAAGTTAAGGGCAAGTGATAATTTCACCTTTTCCAACGTTAAGGACTATGATGCTATGGTGAAGCTGGTGGAGACTCTAGAGATGCTGCCGACTTGTGATCTAGCCACCCAGCCCATGATCCAGTTCCACTATGCCTTCGCCCTAAACAGGTACACGGGGGCTGCATTCATCTCACTCAAACACTCAAACCTTTCAAAATATATATCACCTTTTTTAATTTCGGTCCTGTGATTGTTTTTACAATGTATTTTTTATATGTAAATGTAAATGTTATTGAACTAAGATCTTCATAATTCAATGTATTATTCCTTATATAACTAAAAAGGCAGTGGAAAAGTTATCTAGCAGTAGCAGAAACTGCCATTCCAGCTTTTGACTCAGGTGGAATTCATGTGATTAGGTGTGGTTACATTTGAAATCACAATTGTGGATTTTATTTTCGTATTATTTATTAACATTAATAATGAAGCTATTCATCTGTATGTATGCAGGAGGAACACTCCTGGCGACAGGGAGCAGGCTCTCGAAGTGATGCTACAGGTTTTGCAGTCGTGTGAACATCCAGCACCGGACATGTTCTGCCTCTGTGGACGGATATACAAAGACATATTCCTGGACTCTGACTGCAAAGACACTATAAACAGGGACAACGCTATACAGTGGTGAGAACATGAATGCTATAAATGCTGATATTCCTTTCTACATGCTATCAGAATAGTTTATTTGCATCTAATCATTTATATTTGTGCAGGTACAGAAAGGGTTTTGAGCTGCAGCCAACCCTCTACTCTGGTATCAACCTTGCTGTTCTACTCATAGTCGCGGGTCAACAGTTTGAGAGCTCCATTGAACTGAGAAAAATAGGTAAAAAAAGTTTACTGCATAAACTGCATTTGTGCCAAACATGTCCTTCATGGTATAAAGATGTATTTTGGGTTCACTTAAGCTATTTTAAGTAAAAATGCTTCACTTAAACGGTACACTAAATAGATAGCATTCAGATTTAATGTAAACAAGATAGCTAGTCTGATTAAATGATCTATACACTATAATATTTTCACACTTATAATTCTAATGTCTTTAGGTGTGCGGTTGAACAGTCTGCTGGGTCGCAAAGGCTCCCTGGAGAAAATGAATAACTACTGGGACGTGGGCCAGTTCTTCACTGTTGGCATGCTAGCTAACGACATCCCTAAAGCTACTCAGGCCGCAGAGAAGCTCTTCAAACTCAAGCCGCCTATCTGGTAAAAACATTCACATTCATAAAAAAAAAATGTTCAGTAGTTTTATGAAACTGTTACAAGTTTGTTATCAGTGTTTTATCTCTGAAAAAATTACTTTTATATGTTTAAAGCTAATATGTTTCTGGAGACTACCTTTCATGAAATATACTTTATTTGTCAATGAAATACATGTAATTACTGAAAATATTTTGTGTAAGCCATTGTTACATTTTTCATTTTAAAACATTTGTGACAAGGTGACTACAGGAGGACTAAAAGTAGGCTTATATCGGCTAGCTGGGAAAAGGAAAAGGATAACAACAAAAAAACGTTCCCATTGACTGAGAAAATCAGTTTTAAAATTGTAAATCTAATTCCCAGTAACGGACACTTAAATAGCCCTTCTATACAACATAAGGTCATCAAAGGTGTGAACTTCTAAAGCTGTATCTAGTTCTCTTTATACTGTCCATCCATAAGCCCATCCCTAATTAAAGAAGTCCACAATTTTGACTCTGAAATAAATGGTTTCTACTTCCTTATATTTACAGGGCAATGAAACACTCTTGTATCTTTGTTGATGGTCCAATTGAGATGGAGACATTGATCACAGTTAGTGTAATTTGTTCTTCCAGGTATTTGCGCTCTGTGGTGCAGAACCTGCAGCTGATCCAGAGGTTTAAGAAGCAGACAGTGGAACACTCTCCTCAGAGGGAAAGACTCAACTTTTGGATGGACATCATAGTGGAGGCAACGCAGGGCACCACCGAACGACTGCGGTTTCCAGTAATAACCAATATAAGCAAACGCACAATCAAGCTTGATCTGACATTCAGAGACTCATACTGTAATAACCTTTCTGGGAACCTATTTTCTTCTTCTTTGTTTTACAGGTGTTGATTCTAGAGCCAACTAAGGTTTACCAGCCTTCCTATGTGTCCATCAACAATGAGGCTGAAGAGAAAAATGTCTCTATTTGGCATGTTTCTCCCGCTGAAACGGTAACATACCCTTCCTAACCACTCGGTTTTATCTTTTTACATCATTGACAATTAACTGTCGCTAAGTACATACACCGGTTATCATGCAAATGTTCAATATGAGCACACAACGATATCACAAAGTTATTAGCTTGGATGAGGAAAAAAGTCGGTCTATCGAAAGAAAAAAAAGAAAAGGTAAATATGCCAGGTGCATTGATATAAGATTTAAATAGAATCAATAAATGATGATATGAAACATGTGACTTGATTGTCAAGTTTCTACTGATGAGACAACACATATTTCCTACAGTATGCTTCATTTCATGTTTTCCCTCTGTGTGTTGACTGGTTTTCTTTTAATTACATTTCCTGGCCGTGTCTTTTTCTTGTTGTTTAATGGCTCCCGACGGTTTAATCTAAATAAATCCACATTGTGATATTTGCATACTTTAACAGAATGAAAATCTGGATTAATTTGCATTTTCTTTTGCAGATTTAATAAAAATGATGTTAAGATTTGCACTACATTTGCACAGAGACCAGGCTACTCATCTCAAGAAGGGAGCTCACACAGGAGGCTTTCTCCTTATCCATTTAAAAAAAAAAATAAGACTATGAGTTATTCCTTGTTGAAAATGTGATAATTATGTCCGAATTTGAACAATGTGAAATGTTAAAACCTTATTCCCTTTGATCACAGAAAGGGATCCATGAGTGGACCTTCACTGCAATGTCAATTAAAGGCATAAGGTATGAATGTTAAGTTGGATGTGAATACACTTCAAAAGTCCTGTTTTACATGTTGGACAACTCTATTAAGCTAAAACCCAATTTGTCAATGTTTATTTGGACTAATTACTACAGGTAAACATTTCTAAGCTTTCATCTTCTCTAACTCTTCTGTCTGCAGCATCAGTAAGTTTGATGAGCGCTGCTGCTTCCTGTACGTCCATGATAACTCAGATGACTTCCAGATTTACTTTTCCACTGAGGAACAGTGCGGTCGGTGAGGACACACACCTCTAGATGTGTCTGTGTAGGTGTGTGTGTGTGTGTGTGTGGGTGTTTGTCTGTGTTTGTGTTTGGAACGTATGTATGTGCAACTGTATTGTATTGCCATGTGTTGGCCATGAATTGGAAATACAAATGTTAAAATGCTGTTTCAGGTTCTGCTCAATGGTGAAAGAGATGATATCAGATGGTACGGGGAATGCTGTGGAGCTGGAGGGGGAAGGAGATGGAGATACACTGGAGGTCATAAATATAGCTTATATTAAATAAATATATTAGTGTTTAGTTTTATAGTTTATTATTACTGATTGTGTGTGAATGGATGTGTTACAGTATGAATATGACACCGATGAGACAGGGGACAGGGTGGTGTTGGGGCGTGGCACCTATGGAGTGGTGTATGCTGGGAGAGACGTCAGCAACCAGGTTCGAATCGCCATCAAAGAGATCCCTGAGAGAGACAGCAGGTAGGAGCACACTGTAAAATGTTTGGCTGGCTACTAGTTGCATGGATTTCACAGTAATTGACTGTAAATATTTCACAGTAATTGACTGTAAATATTTCACAGTAATTTACTGTAGATATTTTACAGTAAATTAGAATAAAAGTAAAACTAAATACTGTGACTTTACAGTTGCCATGCCCATGGAATTACTGTGATATAGCAGTACAGAGCTGTGGTATTATGGTACCTTGCTGTACTGGGTTTTACCATAACTACACAATTCAATCAGCTCAATAAACAAAGAAAAACAAAGAAAATGCCCATTTTAACTTTGTATTACTCCATTGAAGTGTAAAGTACATTTCACAGTGTCTTGGACATGTTGTTACGGCCCCAACCTTTACTCCGCGGTAGTGGCTCGTGCTGAGACCCGCAACATGAAAGAATACACGCAATAACCGGTACTTGGTAACGAGCATTTATTGATAATCAGCCGTTTGCTCACACAC